TATAAACGATGCATGAGGTAACACATTCACTCCTTTCATCATGTGAGCACAGGACAAGGAGGTGCCCTTTATGTGACAGAGAATGAGTCTTCACCATCCACCCAATCTCCTGGCATCTTGATGTGAGTCTTCCCGACCTCCATAACTAGAAGAGATACATTTCTGTTGTTTATAAACCATTCAATCTCAATATTTTTTTCATAGGTGCTCAAATGATCAAAATTAGTTCTGAAACAAAATGGCCTACTTTATGGTGATTTTTTTTAAGTTTTAAATATGATAGGAATATCTATTTCTGTCTCAGAATGGAATGAAAGACTTGACCCCATCCCACCGCTGTAGGTCAGAGTTACACAAACGAATGTTTGAGTTGTTCCATTGGAAACAAGGAAAATGAACTTCTTGGGAGAATTTTATTGAGGGAAGAAGAGACCATAGAAACGCCAATAGGTTCTGGTTACTCATAGTGAAGATCATTCCAGTAAGCATGATGGCTGACTCTGGGACTCTTGTACCCAAACCTGCCTGGAGGCTTAGAATCACAGTGGAGGAGAGGAGCTATGTGTGTGAGCTGATAGACTTCTATAAATCCCTGCACGTTGGTGTGGGGGTTTCAAGAAGCTAAGCAGAACCCACAGGAAGAACCTTCCTGCTCAGTTTGCAGATTGCACAGTGGATTTCCCAGCTTTGAGGCAAGGCGGGTGCTATCCTTTTCACAGACACAGAGACTCCAGCTCCAGGGATATCCAGATGACATCATCCAAAATGATAGGCAGAGATGTCTCAAGTACTAGAGAAAGATTCCGTGGAATTGTAGCCCCTAAAGATCTGAGTTTGCAGCCCATCTACATTGCCGCCTGTAATAGTCAGAGTTCACTGTGGGAATACAGCATGTTCCTTGGAGAATCCAGAGGTACCTGGAGGGGGAGAAGTTTCCACTCCAATCCCTATGATCCTGGGAACTGGGCCATACCACAGCCTTCTGGAAACTAACCATAGAGAAGTCACTGGTAGTGATTTAAACCCAGTTTAATGTGTCTTTTGATACTGGGATTTCTCTCCTACAGTTTTTATTCTAACTTGGCTAAGTGTTGGCTGCTGGGATGAGGCATGCTTGGCTCTGTAAAGCAGAAATGGCTGTAAAGAGTCCTTCTTTTTCTTCCCCACAGCACTTTTCTAGGTGACTCCCAACCTCAGAGTCGAAGCAGCGTACTCACCTACTCCATGATGAAAGATTTCAGGGTCCATGAATCTTCAACTTCACCTTTATAGAAGCCAGCCTTGGGAGGACATAAGCCCCCACACAAGTGGTGAGAATGAAAGATCGCCACAAAAGCGTCACTCACCAGCTGTTAGTGGTACAGGCCAGGAATCCCTAACACTCACTGGGGAGGCTAAGGCAGGAGGGTTATGAGCTCAAGGCCAGCCTGAGCTACACTTTGCGACCCTGTTTAGAATGGGAAAGAACCACTCACAAAGTTTCCTACTCTCTTGGCAATGCCTAACACCCTACAGCCACAGATTCATTCATTTGACCTTAAACCTGATCCCAAGTAAAACACAGACAAGAAAATACAGGTGGCAGGGACCTCCGATTGCCCATTCAATATCCATTCTTCCCTTCCCTCATACTAACAAAACATCAATAAACGTGAGTAGTTCATAGATTTGAGAGTAACAGCTAAAACAGTTGGAGGGAAAGCAAGACAATTTAGTATACAATGGTGTGGGTGTATTTAAGTCAGACTTCGAAGGTTTTTGAGAAACTTTGTTTACATTAAGAAACAAATAGAATTTCTCCAGAGTTTTAGGGATTATGCAAAGATTTTTTTTTAGAACAAAATTCAGAAGGAAAAAAAATTAACAAATCACATTTCATTAAAATTAAAAGCTTCCTATCCCAAATCCTGGTACTCATGGGGAGGTGCTCTCCAGGACCCAGTGTGTATGTACTGTGATAGCCTCTGGAGAGAGAGAATCGTTGTTTATTCAGAGCATGGCTACTGGCAGGTTTTCTGTGCTCCAGCACATGGCCCTACACCCATGCACATATGGACATCAATACGTGGACATAGTGAGGTATTAAAAAAAAAAAACAACTATGAAGTTGGGAAGGGGAGAAAGGTATGTAGGGAGGAATGGATCAATATGATCCTTTTTATTGTATACATGTAAGAAAATTTCAAGGATAAAGAAAAAATTGAAAATATAGAGAAACTAAGAGCGTCTGTTCATTAAAAAGTATCCTGAAGCACATGGCATCGCTGCTGTGAGTAGTGCTGCAGGCCTCTGGTCCCAGTTCCTGGAAGGCTGAGGCAGGAGGATCACCCATTCAAGGCCAGGCTCAACTGCACAGTGAGATGGTATCTCAATAAAAAAAAAAAGAACAACAAACAGTAACACAAATATACTACTCCAAAGATTAACAACAACATGAAAATGGGCCTGAGGCTGAAGTTCAGTGTAGATTATTTACCCAGCATGCATTAGGCTCTGGGTTTGATCTCTAGCACTGTGCATAAATCAAACCATGAAAAGGAAAGCCATAGAACAGAGCTGTATTACATCTACACGATAACAGGTCATTTCTAGAACAGGAAAAGAACTTCTGAGATGGAAGCAGGAAAGCAGACAACCCAGTAGTACCAGGGAGGAGACAGGAACAGGCGAGTCTTAATAACTAATTAGCATATGAAAGACATGCAGCATATCATTAGAAGGAAAAAGGTGTTTGACATAATTACAACTTTCAACTGAGACTACCACACATTTATGATGAGTACTAAAACAAAGTCTGCAAGCCCAGCCAACACACAAACAAACAAGCCAACACGAGCCTTGGTGACAGTCCTAATTATTGGTGAGGCTGTTGAGCAGTTAGAACAGTGGTTCTCAACGTGTGGGTCATGACCCCACTTGTGGGTCAAAAGACTCTTCCACAGGAATTGCCTAGGACCATTGGAAAACACAGATATTTACATTACAATTCATAACAGTAGCAAAATTACAGTTGTGAAGTAGCAACGAAAATAATTTTATGGTTGGGGGCTCACTACAGCATGAGGAACTGTATTAAGGGGTCACAGCATTAGGAAGGTTGAGAACCACTGAGTCAGAACCTTCCCACACTGATTAGCTACTGCTAATAAAGCCATATGTGCTTAGCACAAAGCCCAGGTGTTTCACACATGGAAACAGACTTGACAAAGGCAGGTATATGTACACACTAATGTATTTTGAATAAAACTAATCAACTGAAAATTTGCTTTTGTCCATTAAATGGATAATCTATAGGTCAGCACTTTGTCCATTAGAGTGCTGACCTGTACTGTACAGATGTGTACAGACATTCCTTTGGGAATAGACTTCCTTGTAGTCCACTGTTTTGGGCTTACAGAGAGCATGAAAGGAGTGGCCTATGTACATGGGTTGGTGTGTGCCCACAGTCTGACTCTAGGTAAAGATCTAGAACCAGATTTGGAATTGGCATCTGTCTTAGTCTTTGTTTTAGTACTCATCATAAATGTGTGGTAGTCTCAGTTGAAAATTGTAATTATGTCAAACACCTTTTTCCTTCTAATGATACGCAGCATGTCTTTCATATGCTAATTAGTTCTGTTGCTGTGAAGACACACCATGACCGTGGCAACTCTTATAAACAAAAGCATTTAATTGGGGCTGGCTTACTTTGCAGAGGTTTAGTCCACTATCATCATGGCGGGAAGCACAGCAGCAGACAGACAGACAGACATGGTGCTAGAGAGGTAGCTGAGAGTTCTATGTCTGGATTGGCAGGCAGCAGAAAGGAGAGAGAGAGAGAGACACTGGGACTGGCTTGAGCATTTGAAAACTCAAAGCTCATCGCCAGTGACCTACATCCAACAACAAGGCCACTCCTACTCCTACAAGGCCATCCCTCCTAGTAGTGCCACTCCCTGTGAGCCTGTGGGAGCCTTTTCATTCACACCACCACAGCATCAAAACCCCAGCGTGATGACATATGCCAGCAGGAGAAATAGACATGTGTGTCAGGAGAATGACTTGAAAAGCTTACTCTTAAGGGCATGTTACCATTTGAATCTTCAGTGTCCACACAGACTCACGTTCCGAATGCTTGTTCCCTAGCTGGTGGTGCTACATTAGGGATGCCACGGAGCCCTTTGGATAAGAGGCATGGTTGGAGGAAGCAGCTTACTGGACTCTGCCCAGATCTCTCAGCTTCTTGCACTCCCGTGACGTGAGGGGTCTCCCCACACACTCCCTCCAGGAGCCCCACCGTATCTTGTCTATCATGCCATACCAAAACTCCCGGAAGCCATAAGCCACAACTAATCTTCCCTCCCTAGGGTGTTTCTATCAGGTATTTGGTCACAGCGAGAGTGCTTAACACAGGGGTTGGCGGGGTGGGTGGTGATAATAGAAGTGGCCAGGGGACTCTAGGTCAAATGAAGGGAGAAGCCCCCAAAGATGAGGATTCTGGCCAAACCCTTTGAAGTCGCCCACTTGTTAATGCTCTGATTATAAGGATAACCAAACTGGAAGATAGAGGATAAAAGACAAAGGCAGGGGGGAGGCTGTTACTGACTAATGAGGTTTCTTAGGGTTAACAGAAGCATCTTAAAAGATACGGAGGAATTAATTCATTTTACCCAGCACACTTCCTCTTAAATTCCCTTAATGTATGCTTGCGTGGCTATTTTTTGGTTGCTTAAGGCTGTGTGTTCATATTCATGTTTACTCATGTGTATTCATGTTTATCTTGCCTTTTTCTATTCAAATACTGTTCTGTGTTGATCTCTGTGTTGGAAGGGAAGCTGAGATGGGCAGAATTCACCCACTGTGTTTAATGCCTTGTCCCTCTTTCTCCTTCCCACCTTGACTCGGTGTTTTCTCTTCTTATCTTGTGGTTGCTGGTGTCACACTTTCATTTCCTTTTCTCCCACAGAAACCAGAATTCAGGGAAAGATCTGATGAGCACAATAATCAACAACACCGCTTACCTCTGGTCATGCTGTGCCTCGACAGTACATGAATTGCATTCAGTCACCAAGAGAGAAGACACAGACAGGGTGGCTTCAGAATGTGGGGTTTCCATTTCTCCTGAACTGAGGAGTCTGGGAGCTAACAGTAGGCAGTTTGGCACAGAAGTGCAAGGTCTCTGTTACCTTCTGGACCTGTTCCTCATGCTGTTGAGATGGCTTTTCCTGTTCCTATCATCATATCCATGTTCGCTGTAAGAGAAAGCGGGACGGTTGGAAAGGGAAGTGATTAGCTAGCTCACCTTAAATAGCTTCCCCAGAAGTCTTTCCTAATGATCCTTGCTACATGGTGAGCAAGCTGTGACTATCCTTGGCTATAGAGAGGGTTGGTTTACCTGCCCGGGCACATTGTCATACAGACTACCAACAGCACCTTAGGGCCCTGAACTTTGGAGCACAGCCGTGACTGAAACCTGGCATACAGCCGTGGGAGACCTTGAGCAGAGGCTCCAGCCAAGTTCTGCCTGAACTCCTGACTGATGGAAACGGTAAGACAATACATTCATGCTGGTTTCAGGCACACACTTTGGGGAATTGTTTACATAGTAATAGATAATGAATGCAGTCCCACTACCTCTCACTGAGCCTGTCTTTTCTCTCTGGGGATGTGTGGTTATGGACACAGAACCAAACTCACAAGTTTTTGAAGTTCAGTGTGGACTAGTGGCCCCCTAAACCTGAGCCGGCTGCCATCCTGAGACCCAGCACCCTTCATTCCTGCAAAGGCATCACCTTCTTGCCGCCCCCGCCCACCCCACCCCTGTGTTCTTCTGTCTTGGTTTCACTCTCTATTAGTGGAACACCTTCCTTTCGATTGCTCCCTTAGGAAATATGCATGAAAGTGTCGCTGCCAAGACAAGGCCTGCCGAAAATACATTTCCCCATTTCTGTTTGATTGGCAACTGCTTTGGAGATAGAATGCTGGATTGGAAATAACACTGAAGGCATTATCCCAGCAGAGTTGTTACTGCGACATCGGAAGAAATTCTGATTACTGGTACTCTGTACGTGACCCACTTCTCTCCCTCCCGCACGGAGCTAAGAGTCTCTCCTCACCCTCAGTGCTCCGAGTTTCCCAGTAATACGTCTTGATGAGGGTCTATTTTCATCTGTTCTCTGGAGCATCTGGGAACTCGAGTTCTTTGGATCAAGGGAATTAACTTGAATCAGCATCCCTTTCATCAACCCTATCCTTGTCTCTCTTATCTCTGTTTCTCCGTCTCTGTGTGTGTTTCTATCTGTGTGTCTCTGATTCTCTGTCTCTGTGTGTGTGTGTGTGTGTGTGTGTGTGTGTGTGTGTGTGTGTGTGTATGTGTCTCTCTATTCCTCCCTCCCTCTCTCCAGCAATTATTATCCGCCTGTGGGTGTCTAAATTGCATGCAATCTGAAAGAGCCAGCCTCGCCATACCACGCAACAGGCAACAGTGAACAACTCACCTGGATTCGGATCCCATCATCCTCTGCAGGTAGTTAGGGAAGTTGCTGGGTTCTGGTCTGGTTTTTGATGCGGCTGCTATCCGGGATACTTCTGTCGACCTCCAGGTTGCGGTGGCTCCTCAGCCCTCCTTTCCTTTCCTCACAAACCTCCGGATGGAAGGAAAGTCACACTGCGGCACTGCAATGATTTCTCTGCCTCCGCCTTCCCCCACGCCATTTGCTCAGCCGTGGCTCCTCTTTCTTCCTTTTGCCACTTTTTTAGAGACTGTGAGAAATGGCTGCTACATTAATTGTAACACCTAGCTGCAAGAGGAATGTGGAGCTTGAGCTCGAGTGGCCGAACAAACAAACAAGAAAAGGCTGTGGACAAGAGCTTCCTGGAAGGGCACACCCAAGTCACAGGACGTGGGCTTCAGACACCGCTGGAGTGGGGTCTAAGCATTACCTACATCGGGCCTGCATCTCCGGTCTGCTTCTCTCTATGCCTTTATTCTTTTCTCTGGAAAGCTTATCCTTGGGCCAAAAGTCATGGCCACTAATAACTTCAAAGCTTTTAAATTTACAGCTTTAGTCAGCTCACAGAATCCCAAATTCCAGCATCCTGGATAATGACTTTGACTAGCCAAGCCCAAAGGTACCTACTCATGGATCAATCTGCTAAAGGCAGAAAATTGGTCATGACACAATAATGCTGGCTAGGGTGATGGCAAAAAGGATCATACCTAAATGTCTTCTGGTGCACATTTGGAGAACTCCATAAATACTTCTTGTAAGAAGTCTTATTTTTCAATGTAGATGTTGAGCTGAGCCTTCACAAACAGACTTTGCTCTTCTCTGAGAAAACTGACCAGAGTCTTCACATGCCTAAAGGACATTTTGGTATCCACAGCCTCCTGGGTATAATGGGCAACCAGAAGAGGAACTGGACTGGACCACTATTATCTATCTCCCCTACTCCTTGTGCACATACAATGACATCTCAGGAAATTCTTCTGGCAAAAACGTTCTTAATGAAGTGTGGATCTACCCATACAGATTTACTATAATAGGTTCTGTTAGCAATTAACCACTACCTACAAGCTATCACCAGATAATCCCCAAACTTCTGTTTGATATCTGTGTGGACCTGATCAATCTCTCTAGAAGGAAAAGAAAGTCCTGTGCTAAGCGGGTGCTGACTTCCCAAGTGGGTTCTGATTTTATGCATGGTAAAGGAGACCTTCAAAAACATGGACTCCGGTGTTAATATCACCAGGGGATCCTTTTTGTGCCAGCCTTCTCCTACTACTGTAATTGAGATTCTGGGTTCTTAGCTTTTTTTGGATTCTTTTCGGTTTCTCATGAGTCATTTAGTATTCCTCTTACCTTTTGCTTTGTTCCTGATTCTTCTTTTAGCTGTTGTTTCTCTCTCTCTCTCTCTCTCTCTCTCTCTCTCTCTCTCTCTATGTTACTCTGGCTCTCTCCAACTTTTTGGTGAGATGATTATCTAGAAGAAAAACAGAATTTCTTCTAAAGAAAGCAAAACTGAAACTTGCAGTTGTGAAAAGCACTTTGCACTATTTCTGTATAATTACTTTCGTTTTCTATAGTGGAGCAGCTGAGAAAAAATCGCTCTAATTGTGTAATTTTCTGCAACTACTCTGGGACAAAAATCTGGGTAATTGGATTTTTTTTTAAACTAACAAGTTGTCACAATTGGATAGTTCTTAAACTATTTGTGCTTATGCTTCAGAAATTTTCAGTTGGATGTACAGTGTATTTTAAATGTTTTGCATCAGCGTGTGGCCTCAAATTTGATTTATTTTAACTTCGAGTTTTAAAATAGATTGACAACTCTGATTATACATTGTCTTCAGTGAGCGGACCTTTGCTAAGTTTCAAAGTGTGCTCATCTCCACCCCACACTCTGCTGTTGCCATGGGAGCTGAAATCCTGGCATGTGTAACTCCAACTCCCAAGTGGCTCCGTTTCCCAGAGTGCTTTGCTGTTACTATGGAAATGACTGCCCATTAATCTTGCTGTCCTTTTACTACCAAAGCACCTTTAACTGTCTGAAGCAATCAAGGGATGTTACCTACAACAGAGCAAGGAGGGCGAGAACCACTTCCCATTCGACAACTGCTGCACTGATTTTAATCAAGATTTAATCAAGGAACCGAAGGAACTGGAGCTGCTGTCTCAGAAACATACAGAGCAGGATGTTCCTGGAGGCTGAGCACGCGCTCTGCTTCTTCATGCCCTTGGTTGGGACCTCTCAACATGCACACTCTGTATTTTTAAAGTTGTATTTATGCTTTGTAAATATTGTCAAATACCACCATAGAGTGAGGGAGGTGAGTGGCCACTCATTTTTTTTTTAAGTAATGAGAAGAATTGCCATGCTTACTCTAAATTGTCTGAAAAATGTGTTGTTGAAACACTTAAGAAAACTACCTACCCCCTCTAAGCCTGCCTGCTGATTTGAACAAAACCTAATCATCCTACCGTGCTTGAGACATTGTAAACGTGAGTCCAAACAATATTAGCTAATGAGTTAAGAATGGTTTTATGAACTTAGCATCGTTTTCCCATCACCAGTTAGGTATTTGTGTAATTTTTTATCTGACTGTGTGGTCATTTGTCTAAGATGAAAACAGAACTTACTGGCAATTCTGGAAAGAATTTCCAGGTCATCAATGGGGAGAAAGTATCTGAAAACAAATAAACCTTGCTTGGGCTTGACTACCCGGATCTGAACATGCCTTTATAGGATGATTAGATGGGCTCTGGGAAGTGAGATGTGTCCAATGGCTGTTTCTGGAAATAGGACATTTTAAGTTGTATAAATATATGGAGGGCAAGATCTAGCTGGTGCCTACAGCACAGAGGGAGGCTGTTTTCGCTCTGAAAATAATCAAATGGTATTGATGTTAGGTGAGAGAGGAGAAGAATCAGGAAGAAAAAATCAGCAGAAATGACCAGACACACCATTTTCTTTCCAAATAAACACAGGAAAAGGTGTTCTTGCAATCTGAAACATTTAAACAATGGTGCCTGTGTGCCTTCCACTCTGCCTCCAAGAAAGAAGACAGGGAGGAAGCAGGAAAAAAGGGGACAGAAAGAGAGGGAGGAAGGGAAGAGGGAGGGAAGGGAAAAGGAAAAAGGGAAGAGAAGGGCAGAAAAGTGCAAGATCTGAGATTCGTTCAAATATCTGCGAGGAAAAGTGTGTGTCCATAAAATTACAATTTTAACAATGGTTGGGAACATCTTTCCACAGAATGAAGATCCTAGAGGTACATCGAAGGAGAGGGAAAAATGTGATTGGTGGTCACAACCTTAAGACACCATGTGTGAGCATTTCAACTTCATCTCAAACTTCAGTGATCGAGCTGGTTGAGTCAGAAACCAACATGCCGCCGCCCCCAGCGGTGTCTTTGCACCCGCTTCTGTATCAGTTGCCTATGGCTGCTACAACCACAAACTGAGCATCTTACAAAAGGGATTTATTACTGTACAGTTTAGAAGTCTGAAATCAGGACAGGGCCAGGGCTATGTTCTTGAAACCCACAGAAAGGCACCTTCCATGCTCCTTTAGCTCTGGTGTTGGCCAGTGACCCTGGGCATCGGTGGTGTGAACATGTAGATCCTCATCCCCACATGCCTGATTTCCCCTTGTGTCTTCAATCCAACATTGTCTTTGTGCAACCCTATGCCCAAGTCTCACCCTCTGTGTAAGCACTCCAGTTATACTGGATCAGGAAGCCCCTATTCCAATATGATGTCATTTTAATAATCACCTCAATGATGGGGCTATTCCTGAATAAGATCACATTCTGAGGGATGGGTGGTTAGGACTTCGGAGCATCTTTTGGGTAGGTGTAATTCAGCACATGACACCTTTCTCCAAGAATACTATGAGGAAAAGTATTGAGGGAAGTTAGCGGAGAATTCTAACAATTATTGAATGCCTTTATTTCTTCAGAAATAAGGTTGCAGAACACAAATTATTGGACTTGTAGTTAAGCCCAACTTCCTTTCCTACCCAGGAGGGGGCACATCATGTACAGATTGGTAAAGCTGATGACAATGGTAACCATGAAGATGATGGAGGAAGATAACACAATAACCCCAAGGACGGTAGTGTTCTAACTTACAGATATCAGTTCATGTCTTTCCTATGATTATTCTATGACCAGTGTTTCTACTATTTTATCCATTTTTTATATGAGGAAACCAAGGCACAGTGAAGTTAAATAACCAATTTGAGGCAAATTGCCCAAAAGAAATGTAACTGTTGCATCTTAATAATTGTAGGCCAGATTCTGTGTTAAAAACTTCAATATAATCACACTGACACCTGGAACTTGTATAAATGTAGGCCCATTTCTAAGTTACAGTTTTCTACCAATAGCCATACCAATATCTGGAACTTCCTGACTTAGAGAACAATTTTCACCCACACAATCCCCAAAAGATAAATGAACGAAGGAACTACACAAATGACCTTTTACATCTTTGCATTGGTCCCAATTTCTCTTCCTATTTGGAAGAGAAAATACATTCATGTATCCCACCATAGTCAATCTCTGTAAAAGAATATAAAGGACATTTTGAATTGAACAGAGTGAACCTTGGGTGCTTAATATCAGTATTTCTTATTGTTTTTACACCTACAGAATAGATCTACATCTAGGAGTATGTGAAATATGGGAGTGTGAGCTCCTTTCCCAATAGAAAAATAATAAATTCTGGGTCACTAGAAGTAATACATTTCAAAAGTGTGTACTACTCGCAGGTTATTATTTATTGAGATCTAGGAGAGCCGGAATGATTCATAGCAATTAAGATATCAATAGAGACAGCTTTTATTCTCTTGAGGTTTCTTGGATGAATTAGAGGAGCATCCTGGTTTGACTTATTTGTCCATCCTTGTGTTTAATTAGTTCCACAAGGCAACAACAAAACAAATTCTTTGTAGAATGTTCATCAGATCTTCAGTGTCCTAGGATGACTTTATGATAAAGCAGCCATCCTCAGAAACACAAAACCATACAAATGCACTTGTCTCATCACTGGAGTCCAAGTGGTTAAGGGCAGAAACACACCATCCACTTGACCAATAGGACAGCTCAATGGAAGAGCTCCTGTCTAGCCTTTGTAAGCCTTGAGTTCAAGTCCCAGCACCACACAATCGAAGTGAAAAAAAGAAGAATAACAATTGTGTCTTATAAACATTTCTATACAAACTTCAAAGGCTTATCAGTCATAATAATAGTCATGAAACAATAAAGCTAATTAATTAAGCAGAAAACATTCGAATAAGAACATTTAGAATGACAAAATGGCAAACATGGAGTCAGACACCTTTTCCCCTTTCTCCATAAAATCTACTCTTTAGGGCAAGTGTTTTGATTGCCTGGCGGTGATCTCAAGCACAGTTTGACTCATCTCTTTCCCAGGTACTTTCCAACTTATATGGGCAGAAAATAAACATCAACAACTGCCCCTCCCCCCAGAAAACAATCTTCTGTAGCCTTGTGAATATAGACAAGCACGTTTTCAGCTAACAACAAATGAAACAACTTTCTTAACTTAGCAAATAAACAGTAACTGTGACTGTGGTTTCCGATACCATTTGAAATTTAAAAAAAAAAATGGAAATTGAAAACAATTCATTAAGACCATATAGTAGCTACTTTTCCTGTGGTTGTAAGAAAATAGCTTAAGAAAAGGAGGGGGTGCTTTGTCTTACAGTTTGAAGGGACACAGTACTCATGGCAGGGAAGGCATCGAGGTGGGAGTGTGACCTGGTGGTCACATTGCGTCCATAGTCAGAGCAGGGAGAGATGAAAACCAGTGCTCAGCTACCTTTTCCCCTTATACCTCTTTTGATCCATTCCTGGATCCTATCCATTCAGGATGGGTCTTCCTCAGGTAATCCTGTTTGGGACACTCGCAAAGACACACCCAAATGTGCACCTCACCAACGCTATGGGCATTTTTTAATCCAATCAAGTTGACAACCAGAATCAAACATCACACTCCCTTGATGGAATGAGTCTTGAGACAGAGGCTTGGCAAGCTGTGCTTGTGCCTCCCTGAGTCCCTGCCTCCCCCTTCTTGCTTCCGAACCAATAATGGCCACACAGCCCCAGCCAAGAAATCGGGCTGTGCTCTGAGAAAAGGAGTGTACTCAGCGAGAGGACTGCAGGACCACCTAGAGCAGGGACCATGTGCAGGAGAGGATCTGAAGCCTGTTAGAAGTGGGCATGGAAGTAGGAGAGAGGCGTGATTTTAGTACCAGTTGGAGAGCACCCTGTGAATAGGCCATGGGTCTTGATGTGCCACTAAGCCTAGATAGAGTGTGCTCCAACTAAATGGAGACAAAATTGCCTTTTGTGGAGTTTTGAAGAAAACACCACAAGGTTCAAGGGGACGAGAGTAAGGAGATTATAGTAGATGGGTTGGATAGATCAGACTCTATTTACCAGGAAGATCCACAGAACGTTCCTATCATGTGGTCTATAAAGAGAACACTAGAACAACACTGACCTATCCTTTGGGCAGAGTAGGTACAATGCTTTAGTAGTCTGTGAACAGCATTTTAATTCCTTCTAAATTGAGAAAAAAAAAGAAATGGACATTTAGAGTCAATGGTCACATTCACTTTTATGCCAATATAATTGTAAATGTGTTTTTATGATTTGGGGATGTAGGAGGGAGCATGAAGGCAACAGAGCCCAGGTCCCCACATAAATACTCTCCAGTGCTGGTAGGAAGAGGGTACAGATACCAAGCTGTGGGGCTTGCTGGTTGCTGTCCTCTGCAGGTCACGCAAGTCAACAGTGATGGTAAAGGATCTTTCTGTGGAAGCAGAATGTGTGGTTAATAAGGGTTACATGATGGTGGAGGACAGACGTATGTCAGGTAGCAGCATAGTGACCCAAGACAAGATAGATGTCATACAGGAAGAGGAGCACAGTCCTGGTGCAACTAGGGTGGCGTAACCCACAGCAACCTAAGGTAACAGTTGGTAGACTGTGCATTCCTAGAGGCAGGCTGACTAAAGTGATGCTTGGCTTGTACAACAAGGAACACATCCAAACCAGGCAAAGAGAACCTCTTGTTAGCTGTTAGAGTGTAAAATCAGTTTATTTATCCAAATGTCAATCACGAATCATTTCTATGACCCAGAGTCCATCAGTTAAGGGTTAGACAAGTTTTCCCTTAAGGGAGATCCCGAAGGACCACAACAAGCGTGTGTAATAAATACAGTTCAGGTCTTCCCAAAAGGAACCCACCCACAGGCCCTGTGGTAAGCAACTCCACACGAGGAAAGGTCAAACACCCAAACTGCGTCCTCTGAGGGAGATGCCTACAGAGTTAGTAAAGACAGGACCTGGGCTGACTCCCACACTGAAGGACATTAAAGCTGGGATGCTTGGCGCTCAAGAGGCTGTGTTTTGGATAAGTGTCCCTGTTAAAGCTAGGCCTGTTGAATGCTAGCCAGGTGGCATGTTAGTTCCCTTATCACTACTATGACAAAATACCCTAAGCGGGGAAGAACCTGTTTTGACTCAAGCCTCCAGAGGCTTCAGTCCTTGGTCAGCTTACTGCAATGCTATGGGTGTGTGGTAAGGCAGAACCTCATGTGGGGAGGAAGAGCAGAGCAGAGCTGTTCAACTCTGGCCTCTGGGAAGCAGATAAAGGGGCCAGGGACAGAAATACATCAAAGGCATGTGCCCCTGAGACCTACCTCCTCACACCAAGCCCCATTTGACAGTCTACTTAGTATAAACATCTCAGTGAATTAATCCATTGATGAAGTTATTATGCTCATAATGCAATCATCTCTCAATGGTGCCACCAGGCGAAACCAAGTCTT